AACCTTTGAAGGTTTAAGATCGATGATAAACCTTTCGAAAAAACCTTTAAGGGTTTTTTAAGGGGTTTAGTTCGCTTACTAAACCCTTTAAGGTTTAGTAAACGACGCTTTTTTTTTAGAGTGTAGGCTCTGTATCGAGTAAAATTCCAGACCTTCATATACATAGACATATAAGGAATACGCATACAAGATTTGAAATGGATAAAAAGAAAAGCTAGCACAGCTAGGATAAAACAAAGTCATATCTTCGAAAAAAGCTTTTCTTCATTGTTTTACTCGTTCTCAACATCACTACGTCTTAATTCAAACATAGCAGTATATCCTATAATTGTAACATCAATGTGGAAACCTGCTGATATAGCCGCTTGTTTTAGTGAGTCTATGTCATCATTCCAATTACACATTATACCATTGTTATTTAAATAAGTACAGAGTCTATAAGCTAACGATGGTGCGTTGTTTTCCTTCTTAATTATATTTCCTAAGACCGTTGTTCCATAGATAACACCACTTTCGGTTAAAAGTTCTTTTAGTTTCGGAAACACGATATTTGCTTTTTCTTTCATTGAACCTGGAATGCAATGCAATAGAAAAAACATTGATATACTATCAAATTTATTTAACTGGTCCGATGCAGTATCTTCACTAAGTATATTCTTTTGTATTAATTCGATCTTTGGCATTTTTGTGCTGTTATCGAACCGACTCAATAATCTATTCGTTGCAAATTTCAACGGCGATATGTGGAGATCAGCCAGAGCGATTCTATAAATATTCGAAGGTAACATACAGTGTTTTAAATACCACCCACTACCAACACCAATATCCAAATGATTTGATGATAAATTTTTATTATAAAAGCTTAACTGGAGCGATCGCTTACATTTCCATACAAATTTACAAATAAATAATAATACCCAATAATCATACACGAATAGAAAGATCCAAGGATAAGTAGTCACACTTGGAATAAATGATACATAGTCCATTTTTCTTTCTAAAAAAATGGCGTTCAAGTTTACATCAGAAAAACGTTAAGAAGTAAAAGATCTTTTTGATCCTTAGATCATATGACACAACATCAATCCCAACAGAAAGAGTTGAATATGCTCTACCACCGCGCACAAGTCTTTGCCTGCCAAAAATCACACTTTGGGCATAGGTCGATGGCCGATATATCGCGTTCTTGAAAGTATGTGTCTCCACTTATATATTTTTTTACGTTATATGTTTAGAACCGATTGCGCAAGCCTTGTATAGTCACACTACCGAAAATGACTGTTAAGCAGTTTAACATTTTAGCACCGAAAGGGACTACCCTGCCAAGGTTTTAGCTAAGGAAAGAAAACACCAGCGCATACACTGAGGTATACATTATAATCGCTTTCGAATCTCAGTGATTTGGATAGAGTCAATGTTCCTAATTATGTCAGGAAACTTTTTCTTGTTCGTAAATCTTTATTTTCTCAGCTATTTTTCGAGTGATAAGAAGAAATTATAGATTCCGGAATAGAGGAGACAATTCTCTATCCAGTTCTGTAAGAATTTTTCAAATTTAGTTTGACTTAATTACAATGATAAAACGACGAGGTATGCTTGATTCTTTTTCATGTTCTCATAATTAAGGGCTACCTGCACATGTAAATTGAGTCTAAATAGATGAACTTTACTGTCAAAACAGCCTTTTATATCTTCCTACTTATCTTTCCACGATGAAATAACTGTAACTATAGTTTTGTGAAGTTAGATGTCTAAAAAAAAAATTGGTTTCCTACGAAAGCTTTTTCTGCTTGAGGTTTCGAATTCGTTTCAGATATCGAAGCCTTTTGGTTTGCGAAACCTAAAACACCCCGGCAAAAACCTATGAAACGAACAAAAGCTGCAAAAGGTTCCGTACGAAACCTCGAATTTGGAATCTAATGAGTTCTGTAGGTAAACTTTTGCAGTTTTTTGTACGAAACCATGTTATGATTTTCCATCGATTGACGAAGCTATTTAAGGCTTCACAGGTCTTTAGAGAGCGATCTGGGGCTTCGTAGGTTTTTGCCGCGTGTTTTAGGTTTCGTAGACCAAAAGGTTCCGTCTGAAACGACCTCAAAACCTCAAGCAGAAAAAACTTTCGTAGGGAACCATTTTCTTTTATGATAGGTAAAAACGCCGTGTATTTGAATAGGCCAACCAGAAATAGGAACAGTAAATAGCTTGACTGCTATATTTGAGAACACGCAAGGAGAAAAAAGAATCGAGCATACCTCGTCGTTTTATCATTGTAATTAAGTCAAACTAAATTTGAAAACTTTTTACATAACTGGATAGAGGATTGTCTCCTCTATTCCGGAATCTATAATTTCTTCTTATCACTTGAAAAATAGCTGAGAAATAAAGATTTACGAACAAGAAGAAGTTTCCTGACATAAATAGGAACATTGACTCTATAATAAGTAATGAAAAAGTAATGAAAAGAGAAAAGAAGAAAAAAAATACCATGGACTAACAAAAAATAGCAACGAAAAATAGCGATTTTCTGTTTTCTTTTCTATTTTGTTTTCTTATTGACATTATATATAATGTATATACTAATGTTAAAACGCGATATCCTTGTTTGTTGCTCTCTCCTTCTTTTCATTTGATCATGCGTCACCCCACCAGTTGTTCGAGGGCTACTTCGAGTATTCGGAAATATACTTTCGTTGAGCCTTCGCCGAGGGCTCGAGCCCTCGGAAAATGGCATTTCGGACCCTCGATATGAGCTTTCGAGGGGTATTTCCGCACCCTCGAGAGAGCGAGGGCTCGGAAGTCCCGAACATCGCTATTCGACGGCTCGAAATTTTTCTCGAGGGCTCGCTACCTATCTGAAATCCGAGGACTCGAAATCGATACCCCACGAAAGCCCTCCCATCGATATCCCTAATTTTTTATTGAGTTTTCATCGTTTTCCGTGGAAGATTCTTGTCTGGAATGGCAAGAGTCAAGAATCTTGCAAGAAATATGACAAGAACATTGACCAGTGTTGCTCTACAATTATGAGTTTTGACGAAAAGCAATTCAGATAATATAGTCTATCCGTTGTAATATTGCTCTCACTTATTTTTGCTATTTCTACTCATTTTCTATAAATAGTAAAATGAAGAATCAGTGGTTCCAGCGAGTAATGTAAGAAACAAGCAAATCTTATTTTTCCTGCCATCGATTACAAAAAGGATCCTTCTCTCTAAAGAACCAACTAGAATTAACTAGACTATGTAGCATGATTGCACTGCTTTTCTGCCGCAACGACACGATAAAACGCTTAAACCAGTTGTAACTCAAATACCCACACATTCCAGGGTAAAAATTTACAGATTTTTCAAGCATTTTGATTTTCAACATTCTTATATTGTCTGATATAAGAATGCTGCTGTATTTAAGTATACATTATCTTGAGTTTTTCTGAATAAATAATCTTATTTGAAGTAAGATCTGGTCATTTACCATGCACATTATTTTCTTCTATTTGTTGAGGGGCGAAATCTATCATCTATCAGATTGGAACTGGAATAATTTTAGCGATGAATTCTGTAAATTTCTATTAGGCAAAGGTAGAAGGATATACACACTGTAACTCTTTGTTTAACGGCGTCTAAGACTTCATCTTAATTTAATTTCTTAGATATTCCAGATGATATATTAGAGTTACCACGATACGTTAAAATGACGTAAGTACAATTTTGAGCAAATGTAGTCCTTAAAGACTACACAGCTATCTCTATTCTGTTTCGTTTTGTTCTCTTCTTTAGATCTCCAGGCCGTATGTTACTATCATTTTTGAACAAAGATCCTATAAGTCAAGCACAGGGTAATACTGCGCGTAACAGTAACTATACAGCTGATAGGATGCACATGATTGAAGAATCAACAGCGGGAGGTGCGAATAATATTCGAAATAAACAGTGAATAGCTACCAAATGGAAACGGCTTCTGCCGTAAATTAACAAGCATACGAATCGAATTGAGAGCATTAGAAAATTAGTTCAAAGACAGCTAAATGACAATGAAACTTTGCTATTAAAAGATGTTGAACAAACATTGTATCCGACGACTGCAAATGATTATTCGCCAATGTTAACAGAAAATCATATCTCATTATTGAGTGCGTAATTTAAGACAAATTTTGGACAAAATTTAGGACAAATTTTGAGTTCTTGAGAGCTGAAAAACAGAATTTGAGTTCTCTATTTGGGACAAATAAAGAACAAAATCCCCGTTGACTTTTCAGTTCTCTGAAAAACTGAAGAACATAGTTTTTTAAGAGTGTACAATATCACTGGCCATTAGTGAGACTAAATAAAAATAAAGTTTATAGTTATCTTGCTGTTGCATTGAGTGTTTGGTTTTGTATAACAGATCTTTCTGAAAGAGGATGAGACAAGACAAAATTAGAAACATAACTATGAAATAGAAATATCGGTATTACTTCACCGTTCACAATTAATTACGTATGTAGGTGTGTGCATGAAACGAAGCAAAAAACGTTAATTGATCGACATAAATATATATTCTCATCAGCTGACGGAGAAAAGATCCGATCAGACAGAATCGAAAAATCTTACTAGCTGAACAGCGAATGTATTTGCATGACGAAGAAAGAAATAAGCTCTTTAGATAAATCGATGATCTAATCACAGAGAGAACTCCAAAAAGCAGTGCAACTGTATTAAAGTCCAAGAATCTAATTTATCAGAGGATGACTGGCTCTAAGATTTGAACAAGTGGCTTAGAAAGAAGCACAAATAAAATTAGATTTATTTGGGCAATTGTCACTCTTTCTGAATACTGAGATAAAAGCTTCACCACAGCTCCCATCTCTCGACGACTACTGCTTGAATCGAATGCACACTTAGCCAGATCGAAAGCACCAGCGTGTTTTGCTCACTTCTCGGATTCACCCTATGAACATATGCATGTGTCAGCCGATTCACATGTGTTCCTACTCGATTATTAAACGTTTTTCATTTTCCTACCATCACATACATACAGAAATAGTTCATATCAAGGTGCGAAAATAAAGCAGTACAGAAATAATCTTATCGACCTTGGATTCCGTATCCCCGACCCAAAAAACCTTTGGTCAAGTTTTGCAGAATAATATGAAATATTTATGAAATGATCAATATTTAATATCTCGATTACATGTCGAATGATATCTCGACAATAGAAAAAAACAAAATAGCGGAATTTGGAGTTTACGCGATTTGGAGCTCACTTCTTTTGACCTTCTTTGAATTATTTTCTCATCTGTAAGCTCGCCCTCAAAATTGTAACGAAACATCAGTTTCGAATCCGATCTGAATAAAAAATACCATTCATTCACTAACAATATTTTATACATGATGACTTTGTACACAATTTTTTGGATACACTGTGCATGTTTTCCTCATCTTCAAGTAAAATCAAACAGTATAATCGGGAAAGCAGCCGGCTGGTTATCGGAAGATATAGGTTCGATTCCTGTTCTGGTTTTATGATCCTTTTTATTCAGTCGTTCGTGCTGGATAAAGCATGGCCTGTTAAAATATGATTCAAAAGGAAAAAACACTAGCAAGAAAAGTTATTAGGGGCTGAACCGTCTGACAGCAGCATATTTTTGACCTGTATTCGACTCTTATTCGCCTTGTATCTCTACTATTTTCTTTCAAAACTCAAATACAATATCAGATTTGTGTTCCAAATAGAATATGAAGCCTTTCAAGCAATACCCAGAGTTTTCTTGCAAGTCTCATTGGTTACTCTACGAGGCATATACCCGACCGTATTGTTCCGCTGTAAACACTCGATCAAACTTTTATTTTTCAAATCTAAATAGACAGCTATGTAGAGCTTTTCAGGGGCTACAAAACACACTATTCCATTATTATTGTTCTCCGAGTTTATATGCTAAGAATAGTCATGTTGTCCGAAAAGGACATGCACCGACTGTGAATCGAAAAATCACATATGCGAAACTTCTTCATTCGATTTCTCTCAAATTTCAATCATAGACACACTTTTGTTTGCTTCTTCCGTTACTGCTCTCATAATTGTCTATTGATGCAATTATTCAATAACTAAAGCTTATCTAACATTGCCTTGGCTCTTCTTTGTAGCTATTAGAAAAATGCTGATATAGAGAGTAAAACTTGAATGTGCTGCTACAGTGCTAGATTCGAGCCAAAGTGTAGACGTTGTAGATCGATATCGTGCGAGAAAATGGTACTGTCTCCTGTTAGTTATCGGTTCCGGATTAAAGCGAAGCTCCTTGAGTACAAATGCACCCGAATGATGTATGTGTGCAGGAGTGTCGCTAAGCAGCCAACAAGCGGGGACAGGGGGTCAACATTTTTTCACATAAAAGCCAGTGCTAGCTTTTTGCGTACTCTGAAATGTGCGAAAATCTTTCCCCGTTCTGAACATGTTCATTTTAAATTCAGAGCAATTTTCGCATATTTTACCAAAAATTCAGTGTTGCTTTGGGGTTTTTGGAAATTTTCGATACTATCGCCGTCGCAGTCGGCGGCGCTAGCAGTAATAAAAATGATGAGTTCATTACGCTTATGTGACTGTCGATTCTGGCGAAGCGAAAACTTTTTGTAGACTTGCTACAAAAATTCCACTTTGCGTTGTATTTTTTCGGAGAAAAAAGTATTGTTGCATTCAATTCACAAACTGCAGTCATTTTGCCACCGAAGGCGGCCATGCTGGTGACAGATGTTAGAAAATATAGCTTTTCTGAATGCAAAAGGTACCAAAATCTGAAGAAAGCTATAAGTAGATGACGTTTTGTACTAAGACTATCCTCAGCAATCAGTTGCTCTTTCGCGAAGCGAAGAGCTTTTTTGAATATCTCAAGTGTCAGAGTATAATCCTGCCTAGATTCTGGATTTTCAATAATGAAAAAACTAGTCTCCTTCAAATTACCGTAATACCGTATATCTTTCAGCGACAATTTTCGATTATTGGGGGAAGATCACCCTCAGAGCCTCCCCCGAGTCGCCCCCCGATCTCTGTATGTGTGCAGAAGAAAAGTATGGGTTTTCTCGTTATCATCGTTATTTGGATAGATGATGCTGATTGCAAGGAAAAGAAAAACTTCTCAGTTCCACATAGGAAGGAAAGATTAAGAAGAAAGAGCAAAGGTCGAGCAAAAATTTTAAACCCGTTATATTTTCACATGGTTGGATAGAGCTCGCCGAGCTAATCACCAATATCATCTTTAAAACGTTTCTAGATCGAGTTTTGGCTGAGCAATCGTCGA